ATCTTACTGAGTCAGTGTGTTAACTAAACAACCCCTCCTCACCTCCAAAAAAAATTTCAGAGTTGAGGAAAAACTGCAAGTTCAGTTCTGGGTTCTACCTTCTCTGAATTTTCTACCTCTAGAAAACCTATTGATCAAACCACCTCAGTAAGTTACTGGAACTACATGGTGCTAACCTAGCCTATGCCCTTTGTAAAGTGCTACTTTATGGACAGGAGAGTTGTCGGAAACCAAGTTAAAGACAAAAGCATCAGTTGTGTCGTTTCCTCCTGCCACAGCTGCCAAGCTAGGACATGCCTTCTTGGCCATCCTCTAGTGTCTTATGAAACTCTAAGCCTCACTTAAGAGTTCACTCTGCTTTGCTCAGACATTGCCCTATTCCCAAATCCATCTGATAGCATGAGATTACTGTTTTCTTAGGTGATTTGCCATTCTTTTCCTAATACCCAGTGCCTGTGCATCCAACACTGGTCTAAACACTTTGCATGTACTAACCCATTTAATCCACATAAAAGCTCTCTGAATTAGATACTATCATTGTCCCTAATTTTACAGATGATGGAATTAATTAATAAAGAGATTTTAAGTGACCTGCTCAAGGTCACAGAGCTATGAAGTGACACACACAGGAAGTGAGCCCCACAGTCTTAGCCTGAACTCCTGGGACACTATTCCTCATCCTACTTTATTTTCTCTCATGCACAACTATTTAAAAAGCAAACTCTTGTTCGACTGCCTCTAGGCAGTTTCTCCTTCATTCCTCTCTTTCGAGATGTATCTACTTTCTTTCATTTCCAATTTTTAGAGTAAACTTTATTTTATGTGTTTGCTTTTTATAGCCTTTAAGTCGTTGTACAAGGGAGTTTCACTTCAATAAGTCAGTTTGTGAGCCCAGTGCATCTTCAGCTATGCCACACTTTCATCATTCTCCCCATCTCCCCCGTCCCCCCACCCCTTCAACTTACCTACTGTCAAATAGCTTTCAACAATCCAAAATATTTCCTGATCGTAAGACTGTTCAAATAAATGACCAAATAAATGTTCTGCTTCTGAAATGTGAGAGTGCTCCATCAGGAAACTTCTTATTTAGATCATTGCTGCCCTTTCTCTCCATCCCAAATCTCTGTAAAACAGGATTATGAAGTAGGTATTTCTACATTCAGCACCTTGTCAGTCAGACATTCTTGCTTTCCTGAAGAACTGAGATTGTGGGGCAATTACCCAGAATCCAATGTAAAGCAATTCAAATTTATATCTCAGCGGTTTTTCCCTGTGGAAATTTATTTAATCTTTCCTTCTTTAATGTTGTAGGAACACGATAAGACATGTAAATGGAGAGGAAAATGGCTTTCCATCTAGTTAAGATGAGAGGTGAAAGAAGTTTTATTTTTCCTTTTAGATTTGAAGTTTTAGATTTTTTTTGTACCTCTTATCTAAGTCTTCCCAAAAGACTTGGAGGTTTATTTGTCTTTTCTCAGGAAAAATATTTCAAATATTTTTGTTTGTTATAGGAAAATGTAGTAAAAGAAAAAGAAGACATCATATTCACTTGAGATATTTGCCTGATTTTAATATGTAGGAATGATAATTGGACTCTGTATGGAGGGAAAAGTTTTGAACAAAGTTACATCATATTCAGCAAAATTATTTCTCAACTAGTGGCTGTCCAGGGTCAAAGGAAGAAAGATGATTGAAGGACTTGAGAATGGTTTCTATCCATACAAGTGCTTTCAAATGGGTTATTTATTTTATTATCTGGGCAAAATCTGGATACATTTAAAACAATTAGGAAATAGTATCAGAACTTCCAAAAAGAATGGGATTTTACCAAGAAAGACAACAGATATTAATGACATCATTCCAATTGTTCAACTGAAGTAAAAGGTGGGGTCATTGGGGGCAGGGGAGGTGGATGGGTTAAATTGAATAAAGACTTGATTGCAGAATTCTCTCATAAGTAAAAGATATATTTTATACATACTGGCCTGGTTAGAAGTCTTGTTGCTGTGGAGTGAGAAGAAGTTTGCTCTGGGACACCAAAGCCCCAGTTTAGGATTCCAGGGCACACTTTTGAACTCTCTAATCATGAAGAATTGCTGTGTATAGTGGAGACTGATAAAACAACATTCTCCTAAAGCTGGCATCACCTTCAAACTGACCACCAGGAATTGGACTTTCAAATTACTATAGCCCAAATTGATAGTATTCTGATGTATTATAATATACCAAGCAATAACAGATGGCATTGACATTGGATGGTATAATAATGGGTAGTGTTAAAATTAAGATGATTAAAAAGAGGACACACATCAGAATGCCAAGATTAATCCCTAAAGTCTTTTCAGTCTTCTTTTCAAAAAACAAGCAGTCTTCTGTAACACACACTAGAATAAACTCGCCAGATGTTCACTGAATCCAAAAGTAAATCATGACACTGAGGCCAAACCAACCCACTGGCCATCATTTATTACCTCCAACATAATTAAAGCTCTTTTAAAATTGAGGCTTTAATATAACCTGCAGTGTAGTGACTGGACTGTGCAGCTATTCAGGATGCAAGCCTAAATGAGGTGAACATCAGTAATTACCAGTCCACATAATGATGCTGATCAACTCTGCAACAGTGTGACACAAAAGGAAAATGAAAAGACGTTTGAAATGGCCTCTGCTTCCATTTGTGCATCAAGCTTAATTTAACCTGGTATATTTTCATGTCTGCAAACTACACTTGAAGGAAAAGTAGTGATGTCAACTCCTGTTGACATTGAACAGTGGGAAGTTTTGCAAAGGATTCTAGACCCTTCTCTATATTCCTTTCTTTTTCTTTGGGAAGTCTCTCATATAAGGCATTTCTCTTCCACTTATTGTGTTTTCTACTCCTTCTAGCTTGTGAGGGGAAAATAGAAGGAAGTCAACAGGGTAGATTGTTTTTCTTGTTTTTACACCAAAAGATGGATTTCGGTTGTTGTTTTGTTCTTCCTCAAATAATTTCTTTATATAGATTTTTTTAATTCAAACTCCCCACTAGTAATACTTTTGTTCTTCAGAATCTCACCCTTTTCTCATCTCACCGCATTCATTCATGCGGGGTGATATCACTAGGGCATCAACCGACTTATAATTATTTCTCCCATTTAGCCACAAGTTATAAATTTGCTAACTGAAAAGATGTCCTCTTAGTTCCTCTCAATGTATGTTCAAAGGCTGAGTTTGCTACACTGGAAAATTTCCCTAAAGGATTATTCAGAAAAATGTGGAGCCATTTGTTGAGCTGTCTGATATAGAAGAAGAGAAAATGAGTAGACCCACCAGATAGAAGCAGGCTCATATCGTGCCTTTCAGAGCAAAGAAAGAAAACAAAAACCAAATTCCCATTCACTCCAGTTCCAAAACTTGCTCAGAGATATTTTCTTTTTTCCTTTTTCTTATACATTTCTATTGTTATTATCAAGATGATATACAGTTGTGAAAGTCAGATAAAAATTACATGTCTTATTGAAGTTATTTTCTTACAGTGTTTTTACAGAACTCATTAAGAGCCCCCAAATCAGGGAGCTATGGCAAATTTAATGATGCCCATAGACTCTGCTCAGAACCACGAATCTAGAACCCTTCTGTCTATCTGAGACACATAAGTTCTCTAAGGATCTATAAAAAAAATGTTCAGAACTAGAAAGAACAAATACATTGTATTGATTCTAAAATCCAAAAAACAAAGGCATCTCTACAAAAATCAAGATTATCAAATATTTAATTGAACAGCTATAAAATATTTAGTACCAACCTCATTAAGTATCAAATTTATTCTTCTCAAAATATTGCATTGCAAAGTAAAACCAAATCAAGTTTTGTCACGTTCCAATATTTTGAGCACAGCAATCACAAATTAAATGATTTGCACATCGCCAATAATTTGAAATTCAGAATTATAAGAACCCTCTCCAAATTTTACACAGGGATGGACATTCTTTATGTGGTATGGGAACATTTTACTACTCTTTTTATATGATGTATGTGGTAGGGGCTTAAAAAGAAGAGAGAGAACGAGAGATCAGGCAGCTCATGAAGGTCCTAAAACAACTCTGCAACAGTCACCTCTTTTTTATATGTACAATTGTTCCTGCCCGGGTTCAGGGCAAGTGACATGGGCAGTGGTCTAAACCTGAGGGAACACAAGGACCCCATACATTGTGGAAGAGGTCACGCTGAGTGGGGGAAGCAGAGCCATTCAGTGAGTGAGGTTATGCCAGTAGAATCTCAGTGTCTCCTTGTCTGACTTTGTTCTCTCCAAGCAGCTGAACAGTCCTTCATGTTCTCACAAACCTTTCCAAGCTGGAAAGAGATTTCCATTTTTAGAAGAGAACGTGTGAATTGGTAGAGACAGGCGAAAAAGTAAAATATCTGAATTCCATGTGCAATAATCCTTATCTTTAGTTCAGTGACCAAACTTCTTCAGCTTTAATTTTCTTTATTGTGCGAGTGTAGTAATGGGTACTGACTCCCTCCAACTCATGAAAAGTGACATTCCCTTACAAAAGCCACTAATGACATTAGTCTTGCAAAAAAAAATAAATAAACACGTTTTCTTCACATATACTAAAGTGTTATCAATTTATTTTCATGAAGTGAGGTGAAGTTTTTAAATAATTTTTGCAGTTAACAATATATCTTAGATAGTTTTCTCTTTATTAATACATAGGAATTTCATCTCATTGAGTACATAGTATTCCACTGCATGGCTAGAATTATCATTAATTTCACTGCTCTCTATGACTGGCCATTTGAATTGGACATTCAACATTGGCTTTTCAAGAGAATTTATCATATACCTAAAAATGACTATGTGTTGTCTAAAATACTGAGTTTGTCCCTTATTTTTGGCTTAACTCATCCTAGGAACAGGAAAAAAAAACTCTCTACTAATGTATGTCATTAAATGTTACTATATATCAAATTCATTATTTATTTGTCTTTTGTTTTTGCCTTTTCTTCTTACGCAGTCACCTACAGCCGGGGATAAGGATGAATCAGCTCTACCGGTAGGAAGGAATAGCTCTGTCTGCCTGGTCCTGCGCCTGTCGAGAGCATGGGGCATGGGTGGGAGGAAGGGAAGCTATGTGCTCAGTAAATCACCCTCTCCCTTGGAATCCTTGAATGGCCTGATCCGGTGGAGTATATAGATACTCTGTCCTGCAATTAGTAACAACTGGATTGTGATATTGGCTGGCAAGTTATTTTTGGTCCCAAGCTTCAAAAGTTGGAAGTTCATGCTCTTCCATTGAGCATGAACTTTTATAGCAGTTGAAAAAGTAAAAAAATTCCAACTTCTGTTCCAAGGGCTGTTGAGCTGATATTGGGGACAATATGCAATAAATGCTTGATATGTGTTGTTTTGTAAGTGTGTGTATCTGCATGCACACACATTATGATTGAAAGTTTCTTTTGGTCCTCCCAAAAGAAATGTTATGTGACTCTTACATATTCAATATAATTAGAATGCCTGAAAGAATGCTTCAAGCTCTTCTGTCAATATAATGCTATTCTAAATGTGAATGTATCCATAGCAGAGTTCTAGAATAACAACTATAATAGCAATGACTATGAGAAAGTACTAACAATCACATGTTCCACTTCTTATCCAATTAACACTTCTATCACATTTCATACTGTGCAGCATGGCAAGGAAATGACCTTGTGACGTTTGTGGTTAGCCCTTAGTGATTAAATTTCAACTTTATTGAAGCCTTCTTACCTGGCTTGTAAAATATTTTGAACCTTAATTGTTGGAGTCTTCTATAACTAAATAGCATTTAAATTTTCTACAAAGTCAGACACACTACTTGGGAGGATGACATTGGGAGAATTGTGATTTAAGGCTAGAACAAGAAGAAGTTTACAAAACCCTTTCTCAACTCACAGCTGTATGCACTGTTGCATGCCTATCAATCCAAGGTTAAGATTGAGTGCATCATGGTTCATGGCCAGACCATCTACACAGGGAAATGTAGGCACAGTGATACACACCAATGGTCCCAGTCATGACAGGAAGTCTAAAGCAAGCATATTATAGCTCAGGGGCACATCTGATTAGGAAGCAGCACTTTATCTCAACAATAACCAAGGGGAAAAATCAGGCTGGAGGCATAGTCCAACTGGTAAAGTTCCAGCCCAGCAACTATAAAGCCCTGAGTTCAAACCAAAAAGGAAGGAAGGAGAAAGGGAAGGGAAGGGAAAGGCAAAGGCAAGGAAAGGGAAAAGGAAGAGGAAAAGGAAAGGAATTCTCAGACTTTTAGTGCTGAAAGGACTTGTAATGAAGATACTCAGGACCCAGAGCAAAGACAAGAGCAAAGACTTAAGACTTATTACTTGAGATCCCAGAGAAGGTAGCTGAACTAATACCAAACCACAGCCACAGTCTCTCTTTTAGAGGGACTGATTATCTTATTCACAGCTGAAGCACAAGTAATACTCTCAGGTCTTATCTGAATTTCGTTGATTTGAGAATATAATTTTTAATAAAATAACCATTATACTGAAAATCACACTAAGAAACTCTAAGAAAGTCAAATTTCTCCATTTACTTCATACTGGGATTTTACTCATTACATCTTTCATGTTTCATATTTATGGGTTTCAGTTTTTTTAATGAGCATCACAAAATCAGGGATGCGTCTGTAATAGTTTGGAAACATTGTTCATAAGTTCATCAAGATAACCAGATCACTCTCTTTTTTATTTGTATTTATTTATTTCTGATGGTAAATTATGCCTCCAGCTCTTCCTTACTTTCATTATTATTCAGATAAGTTCTCACATGCTCCACACTGCCAACCCCAGCTGACCTGGGACCTCCATCTTCCTACTTGTCCTTCCCAACTAGGTGTGAATTAGAGGTATTAACCAGATTTGTTTACTTTTTTTTCCTTTTGGCCTGAGACTGGGACTTGAAGAATACCTGATGCTTTCATTCATTGCCTAGCACTCTACCAACTAAGCTAACCCTCCACCCCAATTGTTTTGCTATTTAACTTTGTGGTCAAATGTCTATTTTAAAACTCTAAAGATGAGTTGGTCTAATATATAGCTCTTTTCAAATATGTTTAATTATGGCTTCTCATAGGAATTTTCTTGGGAAATTCTTCCTTGGGTTTGAAGTATGTAATACAGAAGGTGAGAAGACTTAATATAAAATGAAATTTTAGTTTTAAAATACCTTCCTAACTTCTGGACCAAAAGTGCAATGAGAAATTAATTCATTGATATTATGTAAATCAGTCTTATAAAACTTGATTGCCTCAGAGCACCTTCGCCTGTGATAAGCAGGCACAAAATCTACTGGCAGAAAAAAAAAAAAGGATAAAAATCTGTCGAAATATAGAGGGCTCGGTGTACTATTTGTTTTTAGATTGTTCCCTTTTGAAGATAAGAGAAATAGAATTGGTGTGGAACTTCATCCCTGAAAGCTCGTTCGTCCTCTCTCAAACATCCCTTTCATTTATTTGGGCAACTCCTAGGAGTTGGTGCAAAGCTAGGCAGGTGCTCCCATGGATTCAAAAATGGAAGGGACTGTCTCCTAGATCTCACTGAAGAAAGGCCAAAGTACTTACTGAATTAGACCAATGATTCCCAGGGTAGAGAAGAGGTATTCCAGGAGTTGTGCAAAATGCTCCTTGAGGAAGCAAAGAGAAAATGTTAGCATCTCCATCATTTACTGTCAGTAGCATTCATCATTCATTGGGAAATGTTCTGTATGCTCATATATTAGTGTGTGTCTGTAGAGATATGAATATGGACATTAATATACAGATAGACCTTCTCAGAGATTTTACCTGCAGTGTGCTCAATGCAAAAATTTTGGAGACTACCAACTAATTTAATAATAATCTTAAGGCAGACTTGAAATCCATGTCTTCACCTTTTGTCTATGTAACCTGGACACATTTTACTTGAGACTGTTTCCTCATCTATCTAAAGTTAACACTAACAGTATCTACTTCTCATGGTTTATTTTGAGAAGGAGATAAGCAAATGACATTAAAGCTTGTAGAGTATTACCTGGAATTTATTGATCCTCTAAAATCTTGAAGCAATTCATGAATGTTATAGGAAAGAATATGAGAAAGCCATTCCTTAGGACATTTGAGCCCATAACAGGGCTTGAACTGAGGACCTTGCACTCTTGCTTGGCTTTTCCACTCAAGGCTGATGCTCTCCCACTCCAGCCACATGTCCATTTCCAGGACATTTGAAATAATTTTCATTATTGGCGTGTGTGTATGATTCCATATGCCATCATTGACACAAGTCAATGACCACAAACTAGATGAAGACCTTATCTTTAATGCCCAGTCCATACATCTCTGAGAACTAACTGTATCTTTGGTTTTTCTGCTCAGGCTAAGCCACGCCTCCAGCGAGGTGGAAGTTCTGCCTCCCTCCACAACAGTCTCATGAGGAACAGCATCTTCCAGCTCATGATCCACACCCTTGATCCACTCGCTGAAGGTAAACATCAGGCTTAGCTTCGGGAGTTTGTTTAGGGGAAAAGATGATGTCAAGGGCTTCTGTTCACAAGACGTGCGTGCGTATTCTCTGATCACACAGCCTGCCAAATTCCTTTTGGTTAGCATCCACCAAAGGAAGCCCTGATCCCTTGCTGTGCTTTACCTGCCACAATTTAGTTCCTGATAGGTAGGTTTTGAACCAGTAGGATGTGAAGCTTGTGTGCTGATTTTGTCTTTTGATGCCTCTGGCATAAACACAGCTTGTTATGAGGCAGAGGACAGAAAGGTTTGCTTCACCTTCCAGGTAGAGTACCATTTTCCTTTATCATCCTTTCTAAATTTCAAAACAAAATTGTGTGTGAAGATAAATTGTGCCCCTTAAAAAGGAGAGCAGGAAAAAAGAACATTATGACTTGCTACGGCCATGAGCAGTGAACGCTGTTCACAGTAGAACATTAGTATTGTCCTGAGTCGTGGGCAATTGGTGGGGGGGGGGGGGGGTGAGTGAACATCTAAAGAGCCCTAAAATAGGATCAGTCATGGAAGGCCCAAAAAAGACCTGGTTCACCTCCCAAGGTAATCCTAAGAACCATCACAAAGAATCAGGTAATATGCTCTCCCAGTTATCCTCAGTCACAGTAAAGCCACATGTATCCTGTTTCTTCGATTACATAAGTATCCTAAAAAAATAAGTGAGGGGAAAATTCAATAAAAATTGTAGAGGTGATGAATTTGTTCAAAGTACATTCTGTGTGTGTGTGTGTGTATGTGTGTGTGTGTGTTACAATGAAACCCTTTTGTATGACAAATGTATTTTAGCTCACAAATGTAATTTATCCAGTAGATAGGTATCTGATATGTCAGATAAGCATGAGAGTTTTTCCACAAGCAAAGTGGTTTGATATAACCAAGTCTGTCTGTCTGATATTTACATGGGAGCTAATAGGGATCATGCAAAGAGCCAGAAAGTTTCTGAAATTGGCACGTGATCCTGAACACACAGATATGATGGCAAATCATGTCCATACATGGTCTCCTCCAATATCAAGCTTTATAAGGAATTTCAGAGGTACAGACAATCAAGAGAATTACATTCTGTAAAGAAGTCTGGAACCCGAAAAGCAGTTCCCTTTGGGCCTACCTTTCCTCATTGGATATATATCTCCCACTCTGAAATAATAGCTAGAGATCACAAGGTCACCTCCTACTGCAGAGCATGGAGCATTTCAATTCTGAACTTCTCCCTGTTATTCCCCCAGAGATTGTCTAGCTGACATGTCTAATAATTGATATCTCCTGAGGAGACCTGCTGCACAGGTTCATTTACTAGATGTGATCATTAACTAGAGACATTCTAAATATTGTTACTCGCTTCATCCAGAGGTTCATTTGACTAGAGTATTAGACCTAGTCATCAGCCTCCTTTTCTTTCCATTTGGTTATCCCTGCAGAGAATCGCAGGCCAACAGCTTTTCACTCCTTCCTCCTGTCTCTAAGCAATCATGACTTTGGACAAGTTAGGGGCTCTCTACAAACTGGCTTCTTCATGTGTATTAATTTTTTGTTTTTGTTGTTGGGTACTTTACAGTTCACAAAGCATTTTCACACCTGTGCTCTTAGTTTCACAGTAATATTTTATAGCTAGCATTATTCTCCATTCATGAAGTCATACACCATCAACACAGACATCAAATGTGTCTACCACTCTGCCTTTGCTAAGTCAGTTTTCCAGCCATCTTTATCACTTCCTGAACTGTCTCCTGAGCTGGCCTTCCTCTTCTTCTACTGCCTGTTCCTATATTCATCTACACAGCAGCCCAGATAGTCTTCTTTAAAGGTAAATCAAGGTATATGACACAGCCCCTACTTACAATTGTCAGTGCCTTCCCAGGTGCTTTCAGGAAAACTATGAAACCTATTCCACCATCTCTGTGATTTGCCTTTTGTTCCCAACTCAACTGGAGTCACTTTGTTTTAGGCACCTGGGTCTTTCTGACTCAGCCTCGGGGTCTTTCCCACCTGTTCCCACCACCATCTAACGTTTTCCCTTCCTTTCACCTCCTTTTCCTCCCTGCTCATCTCCTTCCTATTCTTCATCACTCTATCTAAAGATATTTCCTGGCCATCCAGTATAAGTCACAGTCCCTGATCCTCATCTCTCAATTTACCCTTTATTGTCCATTTATGTCCAAATAATAATTAGTGTGATTACTTGTCTGTTGACTGTCTCTGCTACAACAATGTTTCTTGAGGGCAGGGACACTGCTGCTCCAACGCCTAGAAGATTCCTTGACTCATGGTAACTACGGAGACTCAGAAAGTCCAAGCACCTTGGTAAAGACCATGTTATTGAACTGATATTGGCACAATTTGAACACCTCCCAATGCCATTCGGATATGTGAATAATATCTTGGTTATTTTTGGACATCAATTCTCTGTCCCATTGCCCTGGAGAATTATGTGAAAAAAGAAGAGAATAATTTTCCCTTTTCTGGCTCATTGATGAGCAAGTGACAAGTATGTTTATTTCTGGCAAGGGGGTGAATACCTAGCAATTTAGAGGAAAGACTCCAAATCTAGAATCTTTGGAGTCCATATACAGTTCTGTCTTTATTATCTGTGTGACCTTAAACAAGTTGCTTCATTTGTATATTCTTCAGTATCCTCATCTGTAATACCATGATCATTATCAGCATTATAGAGCTATTGTAAGGACAAACAGGATAAATCCACATAAAGCAATTAACTCACTACTTAGCACGTCTTAAGTACCATGTACATATTGGGGCTTATTCAGTTACATTGTCTTGAATTATATTCAATTTTTAGAATTAAAATAGAGAAAATACTTTGTTTTTAAATATGCAAAAGGTTACAGTGAAAAAATCTTTCTTGTCATCAATGCTTCCACTCCATTTTCTCCACTTCCTTTATTCTCCCCCAAAAGACAACACTGTTATCAGTTTCTGGAGCTTCTTCCAGAGATGTTCTAGCATAGATAATTCTATGTGTGTATGAAAGCATGTGAGACCCGTAGGTATTAACAATATAAATCATTCTCTTTCTCTCTCTCTCTCTCTCTCTCTCTCTCTCTCTCTCTCTCTCTTTCTCTCTAGAAATTCAGGTTCTAAAAAGGCTTATTTGTGTTTTCCTGCCTAGAATGGAGGTTACCTTTTGTTTCTGTGAGATAAGAGAAAGTGAATTTGGGTTGTCTCAAAGTTGCACCATCAGTGATTTTCCAAAACACCTGGTCCTTATGGAGCTAAGCTGCAATTAAATTGTTTGTTTCTGCTGTAGCAGGATGTGCCTTCCGAATCTGGGTACAGCTTTCAAGGTGAAATCTCTCCCTGAAAGACATGAAGGCTGCAGGAGTATGAATCTAAGAGATGCTGAAAGCTATAATCAGTTCTGGACTTGAGTGATTAGAAAATATGGAAAGCCCTTCAATGCTTTAAAATTGCTCTGTAACATGCGGCCAAGAAAACAGATTGCTCTGGTATTTTTCCTTCAAAATTCACAATCATTCTCCATTTCAAGAACAGCCAAAAAACATTAACCCACAGTTCTCAGAAATAGTCATCTCTTTTTGTAGTTTGCATCTACATCACTTGAATTTATATCAACTCACTGTTCCCTTTGAACAATGTATACTATGCTGGTTACCAGGCTTGACTCCATACACATTGCAGTGGCTTCCCTATTATACTAAACAATTGTGACAAGCCCTGGTCAGTCTGACAGACATTGACATCCCTGGCATTCACTGGCTGGGTAGCACTGGCATCACTGGTGTCATTTGATGGTCACAAAGGGAAGTATTCAACTTCCTTTGGAAAGGTTGTCCAGGTCAGATGGCCTAAGGAAACACAATTCTCTTTTTTCTCATCTGTGCTACTCAAGTGTTTTTGTCTTCCAACATCCAGTGATTGCACCGAGGCTAAAAGCCTTCTTTCATGGCTGGTTGGTTTGGCTTCTAGACCTGAGTCACAGGATCCCACATCATTGTATTCCCATTGTCTATTGATTATCACAAAGCATGGCAAGAGCTATGGCTTAATGCCATTTCACATCATTATTATGCATGATTTCGCAGATTTGGAATTTGGGGATCAGCTAGTTTATTCTACATCCCATGAGATATTGATAGAGGTCATTTGATAGTATCCAGATGGTGGAAAGATAGGACAGATGGTCTGAGAGGGCCTTACTGCTGTGTATGCACCTTTGAAGACACAGCTGGGTCACTCTATGCTTTCTTGAGGCCTTTCCCACAATACTAGTCTCTCTCTCTCTCTCTCTCTCTCTCTCTCTCTCTCTCTCTCTCTCTCCCTCTCTCTCGGTGCTGGTCCTAGGCTTAAATTCAGGGCCTGAGTACTATCCTCAAGCTTCTTTTTGCTCAAGGCTAGCACTCTACCACTTGAGCCACAGCACAACTTCCAGCATTTCCTGAGTAGTTTATTGGAGTTAAGGGTCCCATGGACTTTCCTGCCTAGGCTGGCTTCAAACCACAATCCTCAGTTCTCAGTATCCTGAGTGTAGCTAGGATTATAGGCCTGAGCCTCTAGTGCTCAGCCTCTTTTTACTTTTTGACTGAAGGTTTCAAGAACAAAACTTCCAGAAGGCCCAGGTGGAAGTTACAAGGCTTCTATGACTTAGCCTTCAAAGTGCTAGGACCTTACTTTTTACTATCTTCCCACAAGCAAGCAGTCACTAAGGCTATCCCAGAATCCAGCTGACGAGATGAGCCTCCATTTCTCAAAGAAAGACCCAAAATTAGTAGCCATCTCATTAATCCAGTTTGTTTTAGGGATTCAACATTAGTTGCACACCTGTTCATGTTGCTTTGTGTGTCCTAGGCAGACCACACTGTGTTGAACTTCAAGCCATAGTTAATCTGACAGATAAAGCTGAGCAGTACCACTTTTAGAGGCACAAAGTTCTAATCAGGGCTCAGTTCATGAAATGAAGGGATGTGCTGGGAGCCAGTGACTCACACCTGT